CGTTGGGTCTGCAGCGCGTGAAGCTGCTTTGCCCTAGACAGGAGCCAGGGTGGGTGTCTCCACTCGCCAGGCACTTCCCCGTGTGACCCCGCCCCCCCGTGACCCCCTGGGTGCACAAGCCCTGAACTGGGAGAGGACCCAGCCCTGGGAGGGAGGTCTGAGGCTACAAGTTCTCCCTGCACCGTCCTCAAAACGCTGTAAAAGGTGGGGGTGGGTCACGGCCTCCCTCTGCTGTGTGCTGGGGGGGTGGGCACAGGGGCAAGGTCACGGCCTCCCTCCGGTGTGTGCGGGGCAGAGGGTGCTCTCAGAGGGGGTCACAGCCTCCCTCTGGGGGGACAGAGGGGAGGGGTCACAGCCTCCCTCTGTTTGGGGGGACAGAGGAGCAGGGTCATGGCCTCCCTCTGCTGTGTCTGGGGGGGGCACAGAGGCGGGGTCACGGCCTCCCTGTTTGGGGGAACAGAGGGGAGGGGTCACAGCCTCCCTCCGGTGTGTCTAGGGGCACAGCCTCCCTCTGTATCTGGGGGGACAGAGGGGCAGGGTCACGGCCTCCCACCGGTGTGTGTGTGTGTGTGGGGGGGGACCGAGGGGCGAGGTCACGGCCTCCCTCCGGTGTGTGTGTGTGTGTGGGGGGACCGAGGGGCGAGGTCACGGCCTCCCTCCGGTGTGTGCGGGGCAGAGGGTGCTCTCAGAAGCCAGGGCATGGCGTTCTCTAACGCACCAGGGCTGTGTGTGTCCACGGTAGTCGGGAGCTCGGCAGCTGCTGGCTGTGACCACAGGCCACCCCTGCCTCGTCCAGACACATGGCCTCAGACGTGACTGTGTGGGGCGGAGGGAGCCGAGGGGGGCCCCCGCCTCAGCTCCTACTCCAGGACTGTCCCAGAGACGAGCTAGGCACCTCCAGGCAACACCGGCCCGTGACCCCAAGTGCTCGGGGCCATCTGTGGAAACCGTGGGGCTCCGTGTCCCGGGAGAAAGGAAGAGCCGGACACAGCCCCTACCTGGGGCACGGTGACAACAGTCCAAGTGTGTTTTATTGCCAGTGGGACACGTCAGCAGACCGACAGACAGGAATGGGCGCCTCCTCCCCAGCGCCAGCCCCAGACAGACTGCGGGCCTTCCCAGGGCACAGGCTGAGGCTAAGGGGCCACCAGGGGCCCTAACCCCACGACGCCCCTCAGGCTCTAGGGGCAGACTCGTGCAGACCCGGCTGCCCTGGGCCAGCTGCCCTGTGGGCCGTGTCCCGCTCCCCGGGCAGGCTGGAGCTCCTGGTCCCTGGTTCTTCCTGGCTGAGCTAGGGGGCTGGACACTGCCCCATGGCCCAGGAGCAGCAGGGTGGGGGTGGAAAATGGGACGGGAGGGTGGCCACGGGGCCTGCCTGGCGTGGGCACCCCAGGAGCGGAGGTGGCACCCGGGCCAGGGCTGCTGTCTCCCCACCCCTGCGCCTCACGCCCCAGACAGCAGTCAGGCCTGGGGGCGGGTGACGCCCCAAGCCACCTCTTCTGGGACCACGGGACCCAGGAAATCTGTCAAAGGCCACGACAGGCCGTCTCCCCATGTCTTGCCACCCGGCTTTCCAGTCACCTCTGACCTCAGGCCCGGAGCCCTGCTTCCCAGCTCAGTGACACCACCCGGAGGGATGGGCCAGCATGGAGAACCAAACGCTGTGTCCCGGTGTCCCTGAAGTCCCAGCTCAGCCGCACTCAGCTGCTCGAGGTTCCCATCGCAGGTAAATACACCGGGAGGGCCGTCCCCAGCGGCCCAGGCCCTTCAGGCTCAGGGAGGGCCGGGGCTGGCCACCAGGTGCAGGGCCCGGGGACCCCTAGCTGTTGGACGTGAGGCCCAGGCCTGCCCGCCAGCTGCTGGCCCTCGGGGCTCTAGTAGTCCACAAGCTGAGCTGCATAGACGCCATCCTTTTTGTCGAGCTGCGGGGTCAAAGGGTGGGGCTCAGCGACAAGGCCGGGAGCCTGGCCTCACCTGCCACAGTCCAGGAGCCCATGCCTGCACCGCCACCTTCCCAGGTGTGTGCCCTGCAGGCCTGTGGGCAGAGACAGGCAGCCACCCCCAGGGCCCCACGCTCCCGCACTGACGCTGGGCACCTGGTGGTCCGGTCTGGGTGCCACGCTGGGCTTCTGGGCCAGGGGTGGCTTCTTGGTCCCGCCTCGGGGGGCAGCGCCAGGCCGGCTGGCCTCCTCCTCGCCCGGCACACACGTGGCCCCTGCTAGCTCATAGTGCTGCCGGCGCAGCCCCCCGAGCCGCACGCGCTCTGCCTCCAGCGTCTTCTCCAGCTCCAGGACGCGCACCTGCGGCCCACAGCACCGCTCAGCACAGCGGGCCCAGGGAGCCCCGCCATCCCCACCTGCCTGCGCTCGGCCTGGAGGGGCCGCTCAGCGGCTGGGGGACCTACCTGGGTCTCCATCTCCTGCTTCTTCAGCTTGATGAGGGACAGGCCGGAGAAGTCCATGGTGTCTGTGACCGGAGCGCGAGGGTCAGTGTCGGGGTGCCCCAGGAGGCTGCAGCCCCCACACACCCAGGTGCTCACCCTTGTCTTCGATCTGCTCCTGGCCCGACTTGGTGGAGGCCACCACGTTGGCGGCCATCTCGTTGACGGTGCGCGAACACTCCTGCAGGCGACTCAGGTGACGGCTGTGCTTGTCGGCCTTCACCTGGGGGCGGGAAGGGGCAGAAAGGGTCAGGGGGAGCCGCAGGCAGGAGCGGGGACACCAGGTCAGGTCAGGTGGCAACAGAGAGGCCAGGCTGCAACAGGGACGCCAGGCAGATGGCAGCGAGAAGGACACCAGGCCATGCCATAGCAGGGACACCAGGCCAGGCCGCAGCAGAGGGGACACCAGGCCAGGCCACAGCAGAGGGGACCCCAGGCCAGGCCGCAGCAGGACCCCAGGCCAGCCGGGCGCGGGGCCCTCACCTTGGAGGCTGCCACCAGCTGGGCCGTGCTGGCTGCGATCTCATGTGAGCACACGATCAGCTCCTCATACTTGCCCGTGTGCAGCACCACCCGGTCCGCTGACTCCCTGTGGAGCCAGGCTGGTCAGGGGCCGGGCCCCCG